ATTAGGGGATGTGGGATTGAGCAGAAGGGTGATAAGATGCATAGGCAGTGTGAGGCAGACAATTCCTCAAAGGGAACCTACATGTGTCACACATGCTTACAAAAAATCACACTTTTCCATCCTACTCTGAAAGCACTGTCTGTAAAGTGTATCTTTGAAAATTCAAATGAAGTGAAATAAAGTGTAAGTATCAAAATAGGGATTAGAGATGTGTACCAGAACTGGAATTTACAGTGATGTGCAGGCCCGGCTTGGCCTGAAAGCCATGGCTATGGCCCGACTTTGGGTGGCTCAGGCTTGACCATACTCAAGCCTGAGCTTTTTGCAAGGCTCAAGGCTGGCTTATGGGCAAAAGTCAAAAAAACACATACAATCAATCAATTAGTCTTGAACCCACAACAAAATTTCTACAAGTGCACCTCCATGTCAAACACTGCACCCCCTATCTCTGCTCCTCATCACATTGGGACAATTAGGACATCAAGGTTCAGGCATACCATCTGGAAACATCATATGAGGTATCTAAGCATCTCACACTTGCTTGGACTCATCACTGACCTCACTACTTTTGCAGACTTTCAGAGAAGAGGTTGAATATTTCTCTTCTATTCCAATATTTATCAGTCTTAACCAGTACTTACACCATCTCAAGGCTGCTGTGAAGTTCAGTATCAAAGTCACTTTAGTTCCAGCATATTCTCCTGAAGCCATGGCAGAGAAAACTTCGGCCAGGATGGTGCTGGCAACGATTATGAGCATGCAAGGTTACTGTACCTCTCCAAAGTGAGGTACGACCTTGCTTTGGGCTTTGCTGGGCCTTGACAATGGCCCAAGAAGGCCTGGCTTTGGGCCAGGCCTGGCACATCACTAACTGGAAACAGACATGTATGCTGGGGGGACAACTTGCCTCTGGCAAGGCATGACTGAGTGAAGTGAGTACTGTAGTATAAGTCCAGGTTTAAGTCTAACTATGTGTACTGAAAGTGGGATTAAATATGTGTACCAGAAGTGGGATTAAACATGAACTGGGATAAAAAATGTGTACCAAAACTGGGATTAAACATGTGTACCAGGGGGTCCAGGGGGCTTGCCCCCAGCAAGCTGTGACCAGCACCAGAGGCACGGCTGAGCGTTAGCGAGTGCCGCACTGTAGGTGCGGGTCTAAAGCTTGTTCATGGCGAAGAAGGCAATGTTTGGACCTATGGTGGTAGTGAACAGGTGAACGTCCTAGACAACTCAATCAACAAGCATATGGAACAATTACCACACTCATGATTCCTCCTTTCCACTCCTCGTCTAACATGGCCTGGAGTTGCAACTACAAACATAGAACTTTGTGACAAAGGTACGTCCGTCGAATTTTGAGCTTCCCTTTTACAATCTAAGATGCCCACCCTCAGATGCGCGTGATGACCAAGTCCTGCTTAAGGCCTACTCACAGGCCACAATTGCTCTTACACAACCAGTACGCCGGTGTAACCAGAACACGTTGAAGCACTATCCCGTGGTTGCCGTGCAAAGTCCTTCCTCCACTGTTATAATCAATGTGCTCGATGCTGGGTGGGCGCAGCGTGCGGCTGAGGGTGTTGTGCTTGATTTCAGGTTTCCAGTGAGGAGGAATGCCAGGGTTTCCATGGGCTTGAATGAT